TTCGAGGCCAGCCTGGGCTACCAAGTGAGTTCCAGGAAAGGCGCAAAGCTACACAGAGAAACCCTGTCTCGAAAAACAAAAAAAAAAAAAAAAAAAAAAAGTTCTTATTAATAAAATCAAACCTGAGGCCAGTATTGGGGTGAATGCTGGAAGAACAGAGAAGCAGAGCAAGCCATGGCTACCTCACCTCACCATTTCCTCAGCTGATCCTGTTTCCTCAGACTGGAAACCTTTGAGTCCACAACCGAATGAATCTCAGTTGACCTGCTGTGCCAAAGCCTGAAAGCTTAACCACCCAAATGCTTCTATTTTCTGGTCTTCACTCCTTATATATCTTTCTGTTTTCGCCATCACTCCCTGGGATTAAAGGCTCACTTTTTGGGATTAAAGGCATGTGTCACCATGCCTGGCTGTTTCCAATGTGGCCTTGAACTCACAGAGATCCAGAGGGATTTCTACCTCTGGAATGCTAGAATTAAAGATGTGAGTGCCACCGTTTTCCAGCCTTTGTATCTAGTGGCTGTTCTGTCTCTGACCCCAGATAAGTTTATTAGGGTGTATAATATTTTGGGGAACACAATACCACCACACATATCCTGTGAACTTAAGGTTGTGCTGTGGTCTGTGTTAGATGCCCTTACCTTAAGAGAAATAAGAGACACATGAGGGAGCTTTTGAAGGTGTTAGTCTACTCTCCTAATTATGTTCATGCCTTCAATGGTATACCCACATACCCAAACACGTCAAGTTGCATACATTAAAATGTGTGCAATTGTGTAGCAATAACACCTCAATATGATTATTTTGTTTATGGAAGGGCTGGGGAAGGCCTTGGTCTGTTAACAAACTTTATCTCCAACCTTTGTTTTCCTGTGAAGAGGCATTGTTCTGTATCTCAGGCTGGCCTGGAATTTGCTGAGCTGTCCAGATTGTCCTTAAATTTATAATCCTGCTGTCTCAGCCTCCTAAGGACAGGGGCTACAGCAATATTCTACCATTTACAGATGACAAAGCAATTTTAAAATAATAACACAAAACATTTTTCATAGGTCTGGAATATTTAAAAAAATGGTGCTTTTTCTTTTCCTATCACATTTTATAATGCAGCAGTTTTAAAGATACAATTAATCCTTACATAATAATAATTGTTAACTCCAATCATGGTGTGGTGAAATCATATGCAAAAGCTCTTTGTAAACTCTAAATTCTAAAAAGTATTTATTGATGAATGAAAAACTGTGTCAATTAAAGTTAACTAGTCATAATACACAGTAAGAAAGGTTCCTTGTAATGCTTGATATTTTCATCTTTGTGGCCTCATTCACTGTGTCACTGACAGTTACACAAGTGTGGACACCATTTTAAAGCTCCAGAATGTGCTGCAGGGAGCTGCACCATAGTCACAAATAAGCCAACTCTCTCATACCAAGGCAGAAGGAAAACACATTCACACACACACACACACACACACACACACACACACACACACACACACATTATTTTTATGACTCTATCTATATGAATTCTATAAGTCTATTTCAGCCTAAGAATTTGGTAAATCCATTCAGCTAGAAACTTCCATTTTCTCTCAGCAAAAAAGTTGGAGACTCAAATTTGCCCATAGACCAAAAGAACCTGAATTTTCAGCTGTGCTGATTTGCAATTCCATCCCTTTGGAGCCAGAACAGCCACTGAGTTCTAGAAGTTGTAATTTAAACAGGGATTTCTGGGGTTCCAGGAGCCTCTATGAGATACAGAAACTCCAAGCCATTAACCCACAGATCACCAGCATTGTAAGCTGCTAATTGGACTTCAAATTTTCTGGGGAAGAAACAATGCAGAATAATGCAATTATTTACTCAAAATCCTCTCCTCACCTGTGCGCTGTAGGCAATCTGGAACAAGATTATTTTCCTCATGGCATCTGTTCTCTTTTCTGTTGAGGGAGTCCAGATGGTCTTTGAGGGCATCATACTGTTTAGACTTATTTCTCAACATTTCTTCTCTTAAGTAGCTCTCATTTTGCGTGGTGCTGTACTCTTGATGGAGATTATTTAGAGTTTTCTGCAGTTCGTGTTTTTCTTGACTATACTGAAAAACTAAAATTAGCAACAGATATAACACCGAAAATGCTCATAAGGAGTAAATATTGAAATTTAAGATAACAGAGAAAGCCCATGTTGACAACCAACACATTACTACTTTAACTGGTATTTTGACATTTAGAAAATAACACCTCAATGAACTCACTATAGGAATGGAAACACAAATTTCTCTCTATCAGGGTAACTTTAATGTAAAGCAAACAATACAGCTGAATAAAAATGTGGTGGATGTACCACAACTTCCAATTATTCAATTTTTCACAGCACAAAACTTTCAAATAAATACCTAAGTAAAATATTCAGTAAATACTTAACACAGCATGAAAATGTGAACTAAGAAACATTAAGAAATGGCAAATTCTCTATTGGACCAGAGGGGAAGCAAAATATCCAGATATGTAGTCATGTTTTAGCACAGCCTGGGAGTGATTTTCTCTAAAAAAAAAAACGTGAAGGAATCCAATAAAGCTTAAGTTTTAATATCTATGCACAGATGAAGTCTATTCACTTATCCATGTCCTTAATATACACTGAGAAAAATGAAAAGAACATCATCATTTCTTTTGCACAGCTGTGTCTTATAGAATATTTACATACTACTCACAATCACCTAAGCTCAGAAAGCAGACTATCATCAAGTCCTCAAAAGGAACAATACCAAGAATGAGACAGAACAAAGCAGCTTCCTACAGCCCCTGAGTTAATAGAATAGGTATGTATGAGACTAGGACACTGTAGTATGTCAGGCAAAACCAAATGAAAACATAGTCCAGAGCTATCTGGCACATTCTCCTGATTATAGCAGAGCAATGAACAGAGTGTGTTAACTACATAATTTGTGTCTAAAGTTATTACTTAGGCAGAAAGGCAAAGAAGATGTATACCAGTTACTCACTGTGTGTCACCAACACTGCAACTGTCACCAGCAGAATGGAGCAAAGGACTCCCAGGGGTATTGCAATGAGGTGCCATGGAACTAAACACTCTTAATCAAAACAAACAAAAAGCAAAGCAAGAAAATGAACACCATGAAAAGAGCACGTCACAATATTGATTATAATTTTGTGTAGCACAGAAATGAGATATTGGTCTCTAACAGTTTTACAGAAGTCCATCATACAAGCTGACTAAACATGTGCTTTCAAAATTTGTAGATTTCGGCCTAAAATGCACCCACTGTAGAAATCCTACATGTGTGAAGTTTCGCAAGATTACAAACTTTTTTTTACCTTTGGCCTTACATTCTCAATCCTCCTGACTTAGCCTAAAAGTAGCCTTATGACAGGCACAGGCTCTCACCCAGTTCTACGGGATCAAAAGTGCATCCTTCAGAAAGCACTGGAGGAACAGACACAGCCCAAGTAGAAGACCCAAAACTGGAGCATTCAGGCCATCAAGGGAGAGTAACTAAGGATGAGGAGGAAGGGAAGAGGGATGGATATTCTTGAGAAATATAGGGAACTGTGGCTATTCTAGAGCTGACTTGTATACATGTCCATCCATTCTGGGACCTAGAAGTGAACTCCCTCTTTTTTCCATAAGTTCCATTTTTTCCAAACAACACTAAACATCTTTGTATATCTGAGGTGTTGGGAATCTGAAAGCCAAGCCTCTGATTATCACTACGTCAAAGAATTTAAAGTTTTCAGCTTAGAGTTCAGCTGTTACAGTTCATTTAGAGAAAGCAGAAAAAGAGAACAGAAAAGAGAGATTTCCTCTTTTTTGTTAATAAACTTTATTCTTTAACATTTCTGAGAATGCATAATGCATTTTAGTCACCCCATCCCCACTACCCTCTCTCATCCCCTCTCTTCCTCTGCAGCTTCTTCCCAGGAAGAGGTTTCCTCCTCTGATGAACTACTTTGCTGTTTCATTTCATTAGATGTTGGAAATATTCAAGACAATTAAAACACCTTTTGCTAAAGAGAAAGTATTGTTTCTAATGCATGCTTTGCATTTCTTTAATATTTCATTTCTCTGGGACATTTGGTGTTTCTTCAGACTCTAGTTTTTCACTTTTGACGTTTTCAGAATTCTTCTTGCGTAGATGAAATAATAAAAACCTCCTATTGGTTTTTCAAATTTGACAGAATGTATTCATATCTCACTCATCAATTCTCAAGAAATTTTTTCTCATAGACTTCTATTGTTCTACTCTACCCATCTGGCTTTCTCTGTTACAAGCTAACAGTTAGAAATAAAGTTATTGTTTTCATTTCCTTTTAAAAAAAATTACTTCTGCCTAGATGCTGGGGGGAAGGGGAGTGGGGCAGGAGGGATGAGAACAAGGGAATCCATGGCTGATATGTAGAACTGAATGGTATTGAAAAAATAAAATAAAAGGGAAAAAAACGATTACCTATTTTTTAAAATTGTTTTTGAACAATTTGTACATGATTACTCTCCCACTCATCCTCACTTATCTCCTTCACATCCCTGTGCATCACCAAGCCCAGCTGAAATAGAAGGTTATTGTTTTTGATAGAAGCCAGTAGGATATTGTTTTCAAATGTCAAAAAGTTATAATGCATAAAAACAGATGAATTTAGACACTTAAAACACTTACTTCCATGGCCAGCTTCTCTGGGCCCTTGAGTCTCATCAGACCTTCCTCCATTCTGCAACCCTGAAGATTTATGGAATCTCACAGTTGTGTAAGTAACCTCCTCATCACTCATCTTGGGAGTAAGTGAAGTATGTTCTTTTTTAAAATCCAACTTTGAATGATATCTAAAGAAGAAGTTAAAATGTTCACCTTTAGGAAAGTACCTAGATCTGATGCTGCAGTGGGGTGGGAAGGCAAGGGGGTCTGATAAACTCCCTTAATGACCCAAACACATTAAAGTACATGAACTGACCCTGATTTCCACTAGAAGTGAGAAGTCTTTCAAGATTTTTGTCATATATACCCCTAATGGTCACAGCAATTATTATTAGGAAATATGGAAATAATCTAAAATATACTCCTAAGTCATTGCAATATTGAAAAAGCCTGTTTATTCAAAATATTCCAAATATATAAAAATGGTTAGGCAAAATTGCTACCACCACAAATCATTGAAACACTTTTAAACTATCAATTCAAATAACAAAAGTTCCAAGATTTCTCAATAAACAAAAGTCTTTGCTTTAAAATTATGCATTTTGATAAACACATGAATATAAAATGTTCTTGCAGTCTTTTCAATTATATATGTCTATCCGGGTTTCCCACATACCACATTAAAAAGAACATTTGAATATTAATATAGGAGATGATTAAAATTTTTAGCTCCAAGATATATAAATATTTCTTGGGTTAAACCCAAACACCTGAGATGTCCAACCTCTCCATCCAGCCACAGCCTACACATTCTTCTCCGTGGTCAGACCTGGTAAATGGATGCAACTTGAAAAGATCCTACAGTGTGGGAAACCATACCCAGAGAGACAACGGCCACATGTTCTCTCGCATCTGAGGTTCCTGGCTCCAAGTCCTCAGACATGCTACAGAACCTGGAGTAACTGCAGCAACCAGGAAAGTAGAAAGGGGTATTGCAGGGGTGGGGTGTGGGAGCAACAGAGAGGGGCATAGCAGGGTACAACCTGAAGGTTTAATCTCAAATTATTCACATCAATGATTAATTCACATATTATTTTCTAGTATATGATATTACCATAGGAGCCTATATGAAAATTAATTTGATCACTAATCAGTCATTGATTAATGCCAATAAAAGACCATATATATATACATATATATATAATTATTATTATTCAATAGTAAATATTTGTAACTCACCTTGCCCCTTACATTGATAACTGAGATTGTGGCCAACAGACAATATGAAAAACAAAAAGTACATGGATTGAGTCTTCTCTAGTTTTTTAATTTTATGAAGATTTCTGGAATTATTCATATTTTCCCTAATTTCTTAAGAAAAAGGAAGTTTTCATTAGATAATTTGTTTCTTAAATTATTATTCATTATTACTGATCTTAGGGTAGTGTCTGTACCATGGTTCACATGTGCCCGGAGGACAACTGTACTGAGTGAGGTGAGTCCTCTCATTCCACCTTTATGTGGGTTTCAGGGATAAAACTCAGGTGGTCAGTCAGGCTTGTGTAGCAAGTATCTTTACACAATGACCCAACTTACCTGGCTCCTATGACTCCTTCAAGATGAATTATGTATAAATATTTGACTCAGTTAAAGAGTAATGAACTCCATAGATTACTCTACCTTACTTTCTTAGCACACAGCAGAAGTCACAGCACAATCAGAAAGAAAATAAACAATGCCAAACTCCAGTTTTCTCGTGCTGCCAGAATCAATCAGATCTAACAGAACCAACAGGGCTTCCCCAGTAATCCCACTCTCACCTCACACCATCTGAAATTCTCTAGAGTATATATAATCATGTGTTAGAAAAATAATAAAAGCAGTTGTTACCTGTGTCGCTTCCAGGAATCGATTCTGGTGGAGAGAACTGATCCCCAGCTGGGGGAGAAGTTGGCGTTCCTTGGTTTATATCCGTCAGAGGCCCCAAGAGAAAAGGCAGAACTGACTCGCATCTTGAGTGATACTCAAGTTCATGATTTTCTGCCCCTTCTCTTGACCAAAGTGAAAAGAGGAAATTGCATGACGCAAGCAAATTCTGACAGCAAAGGGAAGAACCAACACACCATGCCAGATGCTGCAAATCATGTCCATAATGGACATTTGAAGACTGTGAAGACAGCACATCTGTGGAGAATGTAAAACCACTAATGAAGAGAGGAGCTGATGCTCCTCTGCCCCTGGTTTTGTAATAAACTCTTGGAAATTTTCTCTTAAGCTACTATTTAAAAAATAAGTACTTGTTTTTGAATTATGCTTATTACAGCTAAGTGTGTTTTAGGATACTTTGAAGGGCTCTCATGTCCACTGTGAAACTTTTGGTATAACTTTTAGCTTTTTAATTCATAGATAATGTTTCCTGGTAGCACTGACGTCATTTCATACATGGTTGTCTTACTACTGACATTTTAATGTTGCTGGGATATCAAATCTAATACTAAATATGCTCAGTAAATACACTAGCACTGAGCTCCATACTCAGGCTTTGTTTTCTGTTTGGTTTTGTTTGAAATTTTCAGTTGTTTGGGTTTTTTTTTGTTTGTTTTGTTTTGTTTTGAGACAGTTGTATCATACTTACTATGTAGCCCAAACTAGCCTCAAATTCAGTCCTCTTGACTCAGGCTCTTCAGTGCTGAGATTACAGCTGTATACTGCCATACCAATTTACACAATTGTTTCAGTTAGGATGTTTCTAATTCTTTTGTAATAAATAATAAGCATTTTTCATTTTATAAGTATCAATCTACAAAAATTTTAAAGTCATGTATAATTACTAATCACTTCTATACAGCATAAATTAATTATGCTAATTAGGTAACCCCTCTATGTTGACATTTCAGTTGTTTACACACACTATTTTGTTCTTAGTTTAAAAACTACATGGGATATACTTTAGAACATACTTAGAAAGACATTTTATGCATGAAGTCATTGGATTAAAAAAGATACACATTTAAGGAACTCTAAGATAAATTATCACACACCCTCTAGTTAATTTATAGTCTACCAGCTGGATGTGAATACATTCACAATTGATTTTTTTAGAGATGAGATAAGACGAATTTTTCTTCTGTGTGAGTTTTACCCATGGGTTTGTGAATGAGAATTACAACTGTAAGCTGGGCAGGGTGATGCATGCCATTAAACCCAGCACTCAGGAGGCAGAAGCAGGCTGATCTACAAGATTTCAAGGCCACCCTGGTCTACAAATCAATATCTAAGACACCCAGACCTGTAACATAGAGAAACTGTCTTAAAAAAACCAAAACCAAAATAAACAAACAAAAAACTACACTAATGTGGAGAAATTAGAATATTGTAAGTTCAGAGGCTAATTACATTACCACAGAATAGCTTTAACCTTCTAAATAACCATTCCTGGATCTATTAACTTAGTAGACCAATAAGTTCCATCAAGATGAAAGCTAAAAATGTCAGCTGATGACCTACAGAAAATCTTCCTCCATCTTGCTGTAATCACCTCTCTGATGTACCCAAAAATGTATCTGTTAAATTTACCTTGATTTATAACATTCTCAGTTGTGTAAAATTACAAAACTTCATGAAACTGTATTGGTGAAATTAAGGCCACTCCACGTAGTTAAAAGGGAGGTTTATTTTGTGGGGTAACTTACAAGTGAAGGGATAGTTTACAGGGTCTGGGAAAGGTGTAGCACAGTCTGGCGGTGTTCTCTGGAGAACTCTGCTCTGTCTACCTCCAGCTTCCAGGGTCCAGGAACCAAGAGAGCCAGCCCATCCAGATCCCAGGTCTTCAAGGGTCCTCTCTCGGCTCTGCCTTGCAGGCATGATAGTTACCAAAGCCTCAATGGGGGTGGTCCTTACAGATCAAAGCTGGAACGGCTACCCACTACATTTCCCCCTTTTGTCTCAATAAGAAGGTTCTAACCTAATAGACTATATATAAAGGAATGGTTATCAAATATTGTCCAGGAGTAATGAGGGATAATGACCTAGATAAGATGGAACTACAATCAATGCAAAAAATATCAAGCAAGAAATACATACTAAAATCTAGAGAAGTCTAGAGAGTGGGTAAATGGCATGTTATAAAGATCATTCCAAAAGGTGTCCTATCCTAAAGAACCTGAATTTAATACTTAATATGTTTTATCTAAGATTTTATATATATATATATATATATATATATATATATATATTTGTAACTATAACTGTTATTCGTTAATCTCATCAAAGACCTAAGAAGGAATATAATGGTACCTGAGAAATGGAAGATGGATGCAAGCAACTTTCGGGAATCTTGAAAGAGTAGACAGAGACAGCTGACAGCCTGGACAGTCACCTAATGTTTTTTAGTATTGTTGGTGCATTTAGTATTGTTGGTGCATTTTCAGAAGAAGGAATTTTGAGAGACCATCTTACCCTGTCTTTGCAGAGTTCAGAAGTCACTTTACTTTGTGCCCCACTTGTCCAGAAGGACAGCACTTGTATTGTCAGCGGTTGAGGCAAGGGCAGTTCTTTGCCTAATAGGCCATTTTGTGCCAAGAAGACAAACTTTCAAAAGGAAATGTCCAACATTCTCTCGGGATCAAATTCACCAATTTGCCAGGAGCAATTGTGTCTCTCATGTCATCAGAATTCTAAGTTATTTAAATGCCATATTCTCTAGGTCTATGAAGTGTTTGAAGATTACCTGTCCATCTGACCTATGTATCTGTAAATCTGGACAACCTAACTAATATAACTATAGAGATGACAAGCATAGGTGACTATAAATCTGTAAGTCTTATCTACCTAAATAACCTAAGGACTAAGGCTTTATGTAAATAAGATAAACAGTCTATAAGCAAATGTACAGTAAAGGACAATGACTTGAAAATTGTGACCAAATACAAAATGTTTATAACAGAGGTAGGAATGTATAGTGTGATATGCAATATGACAATAATCTTAAATATATATCAATATACAGAATATTTTAACCAGAAGTAGAACATACAAACAGTATGACAGATATAAATTTACATTTGTATCAATATACAAATATTTCAAATAAGTAAAAATATGTGTACATTATAACAAATATAGTTTTGTATTTGTATCAATATACAAATTATCTTAAACAGGAATATAAGAATAGTTTATATTTGTATCAACATATAAGAATTTATGACAGTGAAAATTGCAGTACAAATTATCTAAGGCTGCTGTTTTACTAAATTTATTTACTAGTGTATACAATAATCTACCATAATATCTTATAGGCTACCCACTACAAAATTGCTTCCAAGTTGGAACTTGGACTCATGGTCACTCAAAATGGCACCAGAATAAACTATCTGTTATTCCCTTTAAGGTAGATGTTCTCAACCTCCCTAATGCTGCAACTCTTTAATACAATTCCTTATGTTGTGGTGACTCCCAACCATACAATTATTTCATTGTGACTTCCTAACTGTAATTTTGCTATTGTTATGAATCATAACGTAAATATCTGATATGCAGGATATCTGATGGTCCCTTTGAAAGGGTCGTTTGACCCTTAAAAGGGTCAAGACCCACAGGTTGAAAACCACTGCTTTAAGGCAAAACTGTTTTTCACATCAACAGGTCTTCATCCAAAACTCTTGCTATGCATATTGCCAGTGAGACCTCACATTCTAACACAAGCTGAAGACTTTCAAAACTTCATTGAGATTAGGGGAATGATTCAGAGATGACCCCAAGCACCACAATATAATAATAATAATTAATAATAATAATTAATAATAATGATGATGATAATAATAATAATAATAATAATCATAGAGGAATGAAGGAAAGGAAGACCATTTCATTTCTGTAGTCTGTTGCCATGAGCTAACTCTTGCCAGAATCTTTCACTAAACTTTATTTTCATTTATTTTAGCTTTTCCAAATTGCTGTCTTGTTTTATGAAACCAATTTAAGTTGTTCTTCAAATCAAGTGACAGTAGTTAACGGAGCACTGAGGGTGGGGAATGGGCTGGAGAAGAGAAGAGGAACTGGCTGTGCAATGATAAGCCGGCGCCCCACTTGACTAGGCCAGAGGTGAACTTCCTGCTTCTCTCTTCCTCTACTAACTTCTAGCCAGCCCTTAAATGTCTCTCTCTTAGCCTTCATTTACCCCTTCCTCCAATGTTTCCTCCTAACTGTTTCACAGTCTACTCCTGTTCTCACCACTAGGCTATGCTGCCTCTGTCTTACATGGCCAGTTTCTGTCTTACATTGTAGACTTGAAAAAAAAATCTTTATTGATGTAACCAACCGTCTTATTAAATAAGAAACACAGAAACAATGTAAAAGAGAAAGACGAGAGGTCAGAGCTCAGAGCTAAAATCTCACCCTTCTGCCTGCTGTGTCCCAGCTTCCCGAAAGAGAGCTACTTCCTGTCTGTTCGTATTTTTAAAGTATGTTGTTCTGCCTTCTCATTGGTTGTAAACCCAAACACATGACTGCCTCGTCACTGTCTGAATGTACAGCCCCCTAGGTCTTAAAGGCATATGTCTCCAATGCTGGCTGTATCCCTGAACACATAGAGATCTATGGGGTGCCACCACCGCCACACTCTGTCTATGGCTCTAATAGCTCTGACCCCCGGACAACTTTCTTTATTAACATACAATCAAAATCACATTTCAGTACAATTAGATTACCACCACAAATCTTTAAATTTTTTAATTATTGTGTTTAATGGGTGTTTGTGTGAGTTTCAGTATATGCATGACATGAGGTACATGTGAGGGTCAGAGTTAGTTCTTTTCTTCAACCATGGGTTCCAGGGATCAAATCCAGGTAGGTCAATAGTCTTCATGTGCACATTACTTTAACCCACTGTGATAGCTCATGGGTCCCCTTTATGGTTCTTAAATCCTGATATCTCTGAGTCACTACTCAAGTCTGTCATTGCTGTGCACCAGAGATCCAGATATTAACTCATCTCAACAGTGTAAGCAAAGTTCCTTGGGTGCAGAGTGAATGTTTCCAGAATACCTCCTGCTAGTCACTTTTGTCTCTATCCCCTCATCCTGGGGGATCTCTGTCTCTAGTGTTAACACACACACATGCACACATCATAGAATATTAAAGATGTGTTACATTTGTTTATGC